GCTCTGCTCTAATTTGAACAGATGGGCAGCTTTTGCTGTACCAAATGGGAGTTCAGATTGCTTATAAAGTTAAATTAAGTAGAGGAGCAAGTCCTGATTGGCCAACTTAAAAGTTAAAGCATATATTGTATCTTGCAATCTCCTTATTAAACAAAAATGGGGAGTGGGGGTTGGGCTACTGCTCAGGTCTACATGCGTGAAATAGGACAAAGAGTGAACCATACTATCCATAGGGAGGATGCCAATAGAGGTGCGGTAATAGTTGCTGGTAAATCACCAAAATTCTAGTTTTTTAATCTTTGTATCACCAGGATTAATTTGAATTGATGTTTCCTCTCACGAAGGCTTCTTCTTTCAGACAAATGTAACTTTTATGGCAGGTGTGTGTGTGCGTGCGTGTGCGTACCTCCCCCTCTCCCTCTGTGGCAGGTTACAAATATTTCTACATATGATATTACTAGTGAGATTCCACCTCCCTCCCCTCCTCCCCCAATTACTGGGTAGCACGTGTTTCCCAAATAACCTTTTGTTCTGTCTCCTGTTCTTTCATGTTAATCGAAATGTTATACATTTTCAAGCATTGTAGACATTTTACTGAAATTTCATGGTCAGTCCACTACTCAATATAAGGACAGAAAATAATTCAGCCAGAACAAAAAGGGATATTTGCTTCTGATTTTTGCCTTTTGTTTTTTCTGCCTGTTGGGTTTCTTTGTTTCCTCTATCCGTTCATAAAAGCTTCCATGATGCTGAAGTGTTAAAGCAGATTTGGTTTTTTTTTTTTTTTTTACATGTTTGAAGCAGGGTATTGAGATGCAACCCTAAATACTCTTTAACTTTTCATACTCCTTTGGGTGCTAGAAAAGATGTTACAATCCTACCACACCACAGTTGTGAAATTTATATGGATTCTTCTTTCTTCCCTCCCCCTGAAATTTTCCTATGTCTACGTAATTTAACAAGTTTCATATCTTTTTCAGTATTTTAAAATGGTGCTGACAGGTGCTGTTTAAATCGTGTATTGATCCTTGGAAGCTGTAACAGCTAGCCATTTGCAGTTGAGTTGGTTCATTTATATTTATCCCAAAGAGTACTTGAAAGTCAGAATTGTGACTGAGAAGTCAAAAAGCAGGGGGTTTTCTGTGTGCAAATTAAAGTGCTTCCAGCAACCATAAGCAAAACTTGAAAAAGTTACCCTTATGGGGAAGACGCATGATTACTACAAAATAGTTTATCCTGATTTTGTTCTGTTATGGAGTAAATTTACTAAGGAACAGACACAGCCCTCCCAAACTGACTGCAGTGCCTGGGTGTTAGATATCAGGAAAGGAGTCTTGCAGTCAGGGATGCATATAGACTAGTGGACATAGCCAGTACATTTGTGGAACTAATACCAGCATATAGCAACTTCTCATCTTAATGAGGGTAATTGTGCCCACTAGTGGAGTGGTCTACACCAGTGTAAAGCTGTGTGCCATGTGTCTGTTTCATTGTTATCTTGGAGTAGTTAATTTACTACAATGGTAAATACGCTGTATGTTCACACCCAAAATACTCAGGTTACTTTTTAAAATAGCTTACCTGAAAACATTCAAATATCACTTAGCGTGGAGATCTTAAGTAGTAAAACATAAAATACAAAGTATTATTAAAAACAAACTAGTGCAAGTGTTTAGTAACTATATTTTTAAAAAATTCAGTACATTGAAAATATTTTCATCTTTGTAGATAAAGCACTATCTGAGAGATGTGTTTACCTCCTCCTCTTAAATTAACTGGGAGTTACCTTCTATGATGCCCTGCAGTAAATATGATTTTATTACACGAGTTTATTTCTTATGACTCACCCTCCAATTTGTGCTAGTTCAAATGGGTGGACATCTGAGAGTCTGCCAAGGAAAAGGTAGGAAGGAGTACAAAGGGGAAAAGTGAGAAATAGCTTTAACTTCTATGCTAGAAGATCATAACCATGAATTTTATTTATTTCAGTAAGCTGTATGACCGAAGTGTTTAACTTGGAGAAAATGTATCAACTATTTCACTTTTCTGTATCTATCTATTAAACCAAAAATTTTAAGTAAGGAGGTGGGGTTGGGGAAACGGACAAAACAAAACCCAGTTTGCCTACAGCTGATCTCCACAATGTTAATACTGAGTTTCAGGAAAAGGGTGTAGCTCAGAACACACATTTTCATAACATGGAAAGCAACGTTCTGAAGAACTTTGTAAGAGTAAAAATAGCTATAAAAGGCATTCATACCTTAAACGTTAGTTAAAAGGAGAGGCTACTACTGTGGACTAGCGGACAGTAATGGTTTTCTCTGCTTTCCACAGGGTGCACACGAGTTTATGGTGGAAAAGCTGACCCTCTTGAGAGGGTGAAGGAAGGGAAATTACCCTTACTTAACTCAGTATTTTTTTTAAATCTGTCTATTCCTCAATTAGTTTTGCAAATGAGAGCTACACGGGTTGTCAACCAGGGGTACACATACCTCAGGGTGTGGGGGGGTACTTTGAAAGGTTCCAGGGGGTATGCGGGGGCAGGCATGGATGGAGTCGTTTCACTCCGTGCGGTTGCCTCACAGGAGCAGGACTGGGGTGGTGTGTGTGGGGCCACGCAGACACTGCACAGCCGATGCTCCACCACTCTTCCCCGTCCCCCCGCTCCAATTCTGGTACGCTTATTTAAAAAAAAAGGTTGAAAACCCCTGATATAAGGGGCTCTTAATATAGTTCCCAGCAAGACGGTACTTACTGTATTTACTTGATTCCAAGATGAGGGTTTTTTTCCCACTTGGAATGTGGGGGAGGGGGGTACATCTTGCATCTTGGGTTTGAGTACAGGGTGGCATATGGGGCAGGCGACTGCTGCAGCTCTGACTCTAGCCCCGAGCTTGGGTTGTGCTCACTTTTTAACAGTAGCTATAATGAAATCTCTTAAGCTGTTACTTTGGCTGAGGCAAGTGAAGCTGTATCCTTACAAAAATTATAATATTCAAAGAAATTTGGTAATAGTTTGTGTTAACTTAAGCAACCTGTATGTTGGGAGATTTTAAGAGCCACTATTTCAAGTTGTTTATAGATAACAATTTTAGGAAACTCAGCTGAAATTAGAAACAAAGATCAGCTCTGGGCACTTTATTCACATACTAAGGAAAGCTTGAACTGTAGCAGACAGACATCTTGTATATGTGACTTGTAACTACTGGCTTGGTTCTATGCAACCAAAAAAAGAAATGATCCAAGAACAAAAATATGCTTTTTTTTCCCCCCCACCCCCCTTTTTTAAGTTGTAAAAAGCATGCTGCACTTCGAGCAATGGCTCTACTTCTGCTAAACTTAGAAGCAATGGAAAATTGCCTATGTTGTGGCTTTTTGAGTTCATAAAAATACAAGATTCAATTCTTTTTTTCAGAACAAAAAACAAAACCTCTCATGCTTTTTTCATCCCAAAAGATTAATCTTGTAAAATATGACCAAAATCTACTATATCACTGTAATTAGGTAAGCAGGGATTCTTTTTAGTAACATTCTTAAACTTCCTGTCACAAAAAAATCCCTCTCTGAATTTTAAAACTAGGAACATCATACAGCTAATTTCCAAGTGAGAAGTTGGGGTTAACTTGAAATCCCTCTTTTAAATAATAAAGGCAGCAAAAATGCAATTTTAAATTATTCTGTAGATTAGAAATGTAACTAAAATTCTATTGAAGTTTATTTATAGACCTGCTGAAAAAGAAATTATATTTAAGAGTAATGGTAAAAAATAGTTCCTAAAATTCTTCAAGACTAGTGAATTTTCATAGTATATGACAAGTTTGAAAAATCTTTTGTACTACCTAAGAAGACACAGCCTAGCACCTTTGTACCAAACTTTTAATAACTAGGTAATGCTTGGATTTCTCAAACTGTTTCTATACTTGAATAAGTGTTTATAACCTTCTGCAAGCATACATTTAGACCATAGTGGGTGCATCTACACGTGCTATTAAGGCAATGAAACAAACTCTGGAGCAGTTTGTGTCGATGTTAATTGCTCCTGGATGCGGGGTCTACGCGTGCATCTGGGACTGCAGCAATTAATGCTGGGGCGAAGCAGCCCTGGGCTGGCAGGGTCATGGGAGGGGGGGGCGGTGTCAGGCACTGGGAGCCAGCTCCAGGCTTCAGGTGGCAGTAGTGGCGCTGACTGGAACAGGGGGTCTGGTCCCTGGCTGGCTGGACTGATTGGGTGCAACTTGCACCTGGCAGTCACTGTCCGCAGGAACATTTAATTGCAGTTAATTACTCCACCCTAAGATAGCACTGTCCCTGACGGTACTATTTTATGGCAGAGTTAATTTTACTGTACCCTAATATTGATGCATGTGTGGATGGTGATGCTTTACTGAGGAGTTGACTAATTAGGTCTGCAGTAAAGCGCATGTATCGATGCACCCAGCGTGAGAGTGGTAAATCCTTACATTTATATGTACGTCTCAATTTGGCTCTAACTATGTATAGTTGTATCGCTGTACTCCTTGAAATTTGGGAAGCACTGACTTGTTGAGAATAATTGCTGGCAGCACTCAAATTAACTCTTAATGTTATGGTCACGTTGCAGTGTTAATTTCTTTAGGGCTTTTTGGAAGTGAGATGTATAGCAGTATTCTCCCTAGTCTTACCCTAATATATTACGGTGTCTGGTATCACTCTTACTAGTGCTGTACATATACCTAAATGCTTTAATCTTGGTCATAATAATAATAAATATCAAGGTTATTTTAATATTTTTGGCTTGAAGAATGGTAGGCACACACTTATGCTTTTGTAGTCTAAAGCAGTGGTTTCCTCCTTCCTAGGCCTTGTAAGAAAGCAAACTTTTTTTTTTTAAATATGCAAGACAAGGATACAAGAAACTAGCATGTCATTGGGTGCTGTCATTGCCTACTATTCCATATTATTTGAAATAGTGTTCACTTGACTTTAACTAAGCTTGACACCAAGGTTGGAGGCTTTCTAGAATGCAAGAAAAAGCAACTTCAGCTCCCAAAGTTTTCTCTGTTTCAGTTGCAGGTTAGTGTTAGATGAGCATGAAATATATATTGCTCTGTAGAAATTAACTTTTCTTACCTTTCAATATTCACTTAAATGTGTAGGGGTAACCAAAATTTGTTAACTTTTCAGTGTGTAATATTAAACATCAAATGGTAGAAATTCCTTTTCATGCAAGCTATAGGTACTTAATGACATGATGTAAATATTACTGTTTAATATTGGACAGTGATGCATAAGTTTTGTAAAAGAAATAGTTGACCCAATACCAGTGTTTTTAGATTGTCTTCAGCTGAGTGATTCCTGTGGTTACTTACCTTTTTTGGACAAATGAATGAGAGCCATTTAAAAAAAATCACAATATAATTTCTTTCTCTTTTTCTCTCTAGGGGAAGATGGAGCAGGCAAAACTAGTCTAATAGGAAAAATTCAAGGAATAGAAGAATACAAGAAAGGAAGAGGAATGGAATATCTATATTTAAATGTGCATGATGAAGATAGAGATGGTAGGTATCATGTGAATCTATAATAGTTGTTATTTTGCTTCCAGAGTGAATGGCTGAAAGGTCTAGTAGTAAGATAGTGTGTTTAACTTGCTCAAATTGGTTGTTTGCTTTTTTTGATAGGACTAAAGTCCAGATAAAGGGGTTCTTGCATGACTTCTTATAATACATATATTGGTTGGCTTCTTTTTAGATGAGAATAGAGTGGTGAGACGAAAATAGAATAGCGTGGCTCTTCTGGGTGGTATGGCAATACAAATATCCTGTGAGCCCTAACTAAGGACCAGAACTCATCTGTGCTAGGTATTACACAAAAGGATCAAAATCATAAGAACATAAGAATTGCCACTTATTGCACAAGATGGACCCAGTATCCCACATCTCACAGTGGCAGAGTGGATGCTGAAAGGGAGAGGGCACTGGGTATGACCAGACAAGGTTCCTTGGGTGAATTTGATATCTTTTATTAGACCAACCCAAATGGTTGGAGAATAGTTATTAAGCAAGCTTTCGGGTTCAAAAACCCTTCGTCAGGCTCAGGAAGCTGCAGCAGTTGGTGTGTGCTCTTCCTGGATGGAATGAAAAGTAAACAAGCCAGGGGCTGGGCTGGGCTGGGGAGTCAGTTGCCAGGCAGATTATAATGTATCAAAAATCCAATGTCTATGTTTAGTCCCTGATCTCTAGTATCCAGCAGGTTGATGAAATGGAGCTCATAGGCTCCTCTCTGGGATGTGTTGTGTAAATTTCCCTTGAGGATCAGGACTGAGAGATTGGAGAGAGAGTGGCCCTCCTGTGAGCAATGTGCCCCCACCGGTAATTGGGTGTTTCTGTCTTTGATGGATTTCCGGTGTGCATTCATTCTGGTGCGCAGTTGTTGTCTGGTCTCTCCTACATATCTTCCATCAGGGCATTTGGTGCATTGGATGAGGTATACTACATTCCTGGAGGTGCAGCTGTAAGATCCTGGGATGCTGATGGCTCTGTTGTGGGGTATAGTAATAGTGGGGGTGGTGGAGATGTGGGGGCAGGTTTTGCATTTCTTGTCATGGCACGGTCTGGATCCTTTTGGTGTGTTCTGGGGTTGAGGAAGTTTGCTTCTGGTGATGAGGTTGGCGAGGTTCGGTGCTTGTCTGAAGGCTAGGATGGGTGGCTCTGGGAAGATCTTTTTAAGAATAGGGTCTTTTTCTAATATGGGTTGCAATTTTTTGAGGATTTTCCGTACAGGTTCAAGGGATGGGTGATAGGTCATAACCAGCGGTGTGCGATTTGTGGGTGTTTTTCTTCTGTACTGCAGCAGTTCTTCACGTGGTATCCAGGTGGCTCTTTCAAATGTGCGATCTACCTCTCTGGAGGAGTGTCCTTGCTGGGTGAAAGCCTTTTTAAGATTGGTGAGGTGGCAATCCCGGGTGTTCTCTTCAGTACAGATGCGGTGGTATCTGAGGGCTTGGCTGTATATCACTGCTTTTTTGGTGTGTTTCGGGTGATTGCTGGTTCTGTGCAGATATGTATGTTGGTCTGTGGGTTTCTTGTATACTGTGGTCTGTATTTTACCCTTCTGGATACTGATCCTTGTGTCTAAAAAGGGGATGTTGGTGTTGGAGTATTCTAAAGAAAGTCGGATGGAGGGGTGGTGACTGTTGAATTTCTGGTGGAACTCAATCAGAGATTGCAGGTTCTCACTCCAAATGATGAAGATGTCATCGATATATCTTAAGTACAGCAAGGGTTTGATGGTGCAGTTCTTAAGGAAGTCTTCTTCCAGGTGGCTCATAAAAAGGTTGGCATACTGTGGGGCCATTTTAGTGCCCATAGCTGTTCCCATCATCTGGAGGGAGTGTTGATTATTAAAAGTGAAATTGTTGTGTGTGAGGATGAAGTGTATAAGCTCAGTGATATCTTTGGGTCTGTATTCTGGGTTGTAATCTTGTTCCTGTAGATATGTAAGGCAGGCATGGATGCCATCCTGGTGTGGGATGTTGGTGGATACCTGGAAGAAGACTTCCTCAAGAACTGCACCATCAAACCCAGTGAGAACCTGGAATCTCTACTTGAGAGATCTCTACTTGAGGAAGAGCACACGCCAACTGCTGCAGCTTCCTGAGCCTGATGAAGGGTTTTTGAACCCGAAAGCTTGCTTAATAACTATTCTCCAACCATTTGGGTTGGTCTAATAAAAGATATCAAATTCACCCAAGGAACCTTGTCTGCCTATATCCTTAGACCAACACGGCTACAACCTAAACCCCTGGGTATGACCAGGGTTTCCCCCCTCCACTGTTTCCCTCTAACTTGCAGTCTCCAACACTTAAGCTTTAGGACAGTGGTTCTCAAACTTCTTTTTTTGCGGACGTATTGAAAATTGCTGAGGGTCTCGGTGGACCACTTAAACCTTTTTTTGTTCTACAAATCAAAGTGCACAACTCGTATTTTAATATCAGTAGTCCTGCCTTTCTAATGTGATGGATGTGCCTGGTTTGTTTGGGGGTTTTTTTGAGCCAAGTTGTGGGAAGTCGGGTGTAATCTTTTGTCAGCTTTAGCCTTGGGTCACTTTTCTGTGGACTGGTGGCATGGTCCACAAACTAGTTTGAGAGCTTCTGCTCTAAGAAGTTTTAATTCAGAGGCTGTATCCCTAACTCCCATGCTGAATAGCTACTGATGTCCCTTTCCTCCTTGAATATGTCCAGTCCTTGTTTGAATCTGGCTTAATTGTCAGCTTCCACAACATCTGGTGACAATGAGTTCTGCACTGTGTGAACTTCTTTTTACTCGTTTTAAACTTACTACTTATTAATTTCATTTTGTGACCCCCTAGTTCTTGTCGTAAGAGTAAATAATTACTTAGTTTCTCTTTTGCCATTTACTATTTTGTAAACCCTTCTGTCTCCCTCAGACGTTAAACTGGATTAGGTCTAGCCTAGTCTTTCTACATATGGAAGCCCCTCCACATTGCTAATCGTCCCTATTGCCCTTCTCTGTACCTTCTTTATTTCTTCTATGTCCTTTTTGAGGTGTGGGGACCAGAACTGGGCACAATATTCAAGGCATGGATGCACTGTAGATTTATAAAGGGGGGCATAATGACAGTTTCACTTCTGTTTACAGGTCCTTTCTTAATACCTAACACTTTTCTGTCTTTCTGATGGCTGCTGAGCACCAAGCTGATGTTCTTAGTGAACTATCCACATCCACAATGACTCCCAGATCTTTCCCATGTGGTAACAGCTAATGTAGAGCCCATTATAGTGTAGGTATAGTTTGGGTTACTTTTTTGTCCAGGTGAATAACTGTACACTTATCTACATTGAATTGAATCTGCCATTTATGTGTCCATTTGCTCAATTGTGCCAGATCCTTCGTAGTTCTTCACAGTCTGCCTTGGTCTTTACTACTTTGAATAATTGTGTCTTTGGCAAATTGGCCCATGTCACTACTTGCCCCCTTTTCCAGATCATTTATGAATATGTTAAACAGCATTGGTTCCAACACAGATCCCTGAGGGGACCCCACTGTTGCTTCTTTGTATTCTGAAAATTGATAATTTATTCTTTTTGGTTGGTTGGGTTTTTTTGCTTTCTATCATGGAGCCAATTTCTAATCCATGCGTGTGCATCCCCTGTGATCCCATAGCTACCTAATTTAGTTAAAAGCCTCTGGTGCGGGATCTTGTCAAAGGCTTTTTGAAAGTCCAAATATACTATGTCAGCTGGATTGCCCTGATCCACCTCCTTATTGAAACCTTCAAAGAACTCTAGGTTGGTGAGGTATGATCTTCTTTTTGACAGCTGCTTTGATTCCTCCCCAGCAAGTCATGTTGCATCTCAAGTAGGGCCAAGGAGGTGATCCTCCCCCTCTACGCAACACTGGTCAGGCCACAACTGGAGTACTGTGTCCAGTTCTGGGCACCCCACTTCAAGAGGGATGCGGACAACATTGAGAGGGTCCAGAGGAGGGCCACCCGCATGATCCGGGCACAGCAGGGCAGACCCTACAATGAGAGGCTACGGGACCTGAACTTGTTCAGCCTTCACAAGAGAAGGCTGAGGGGGCACCTGGTGACCATCTATAAACTCACTAGGGGGGACCAGAAGGGTTTGGGGGAGACCTTGTTTCCCCTAGCGCCCCCTGGGATAACAAGGCATAACAGCCACAAGTTTTTGGAGAGTAGGTTTAGATTAGACATCTGTAGGAACTACTTCACAGTTAGGGCGGCTAGGATCTGCCACCAGTTTCCAAGGGAAGTGGTGCTGGCTCCTACCCTGGGGGTCTTTAAGAAGCAGCTTGATGCCTACCTGGCTGGGGTCATTTGAGCCCAGTTTCCCTCCTGCCCAGGCAGGGGGTCGGGCGTGAAGATCTACAAGGTGCCTTCCGACCCTACTTCTATGCTGTTCATCCATGTGCTGAACAGTTCTTTTTATTATTGTTTCTACCAGTTTCTAGGAACAGAAGTTAGGTTTACTGGCTTGTAATTCCCTGTAGAGTCTAGAGCCTTTTTTAAATATGGGAGTCACATTGGCAACCTCCAGTCCTCTGGAGCATACCTAAAGGTATCTTTAGCAATAGGTTGCATACTACAGATAGGAGTCGGTAATTTCTGATCTGAGCTCCTTTAGGACCCTAGAGTGAGTGCCATCAGGCCCTGGTGATTTGCTACTGTTTTAGCTTATCGGTTTCCTCTATGACCTCATCTATTGAAACCTCAGTTTGAGTCAGCCTGACTTGTCCCTAGAGAGGAGTGAATTGGTAATTAGAATTTCCTTAATGTCTTCCACAGTGAAGACCGATTCAAAGAATGTATTTTAGTTTCTCGGCAATGGCCCTATCCTCCTTTAGCCCCCTTGTTACACCTTGATCATCCAAAGGCTTACTTGACTCCCTGACAGGTCTTTGGCTTCTAATGTACTTAAAGAAACATGTATTGGTACCTTTTGTCTCCTAGCAAGTTTCTCCCCAAATTCTATCTTAGCTTTGTCTTATTACAAGCTAAGAGAGAGCTTGTTCTGCAAGACAAAAACAAAAAATGACATGCATAAGAATAGTGAGATGCTTGTCAGAATTGTGGGTATTAGTTTAGCACATTAGCAGCCTAACTGCCATCAAATTAGTTTGCAGGCATTGTGGCAAACAAAAGTTGGAAAGAGGATAATGAAGTTGCTTAGCACAGTGGTTCTCAACCTTTTTTGTACCAGAACCCATTTGAAAATATCGATGGCCAGTCCTGACCCACAGATCTCTGGCCCTGCTGGTACCTCTCACTCCCCAAACTGCCCTGCTGGAAGGGGCCTCCAGCTGCTCCTGTCCTGCTGGAACCAGAGCACGGTGGCTCTCACAGATCTGGCTTATGTAGGTGGCTGTGGAGTGTGTCTGGCTCCAGCATGGGCTGGAAGGAGGAGGGGAGGCCTGTTGGCACGCCTCTGCCCTGGGCTGGGCCTCTGGTGTTGAGCCAGGCAGCCTGGTTACAGCTCCTCCCTCCCCCCACCTCTGAGGCAGTTTCCTAGGTGCCCTGCCCTTGCAAGTATGGACACTGGCCCCAGTGCCACCAGCCCAGCTATGCAGCTCCCCACTGCCCCCTTCCCCTGCTGGAGGGGTAGGTGCCTCTTCCCTCACCTTGGCTCCTGGCCACCTCTTCCCCCCCCCCCCCCCCCCCCCCACCCCCCCCCACACCCGCGCCAGACAGTCCCCAAGACCTGGACCTCCATCCCCCACTTCGCATACACTTACCTGCATCCAGCTGCTGGGGCTGCTCCCCTGGCTGCATGCTGGTCGTGTGCATATGCAAACTTATGCGCGCCCACTGCCTCCAGTTGCCTTAAGCAGCTCCTTACAGGCTGGAATGCTGCCAGCCTCCTGAGGGAAACCCATGCTTTCCCACATCTTTCTGGGACTTGCTCACAACACTTTCAAGTGTTCTTGCAACCCACTTTAAGTGGGTTAAGTAAGGGAGTGGGGATTAGCATAAAAAACTGAAAAATGAGATTAGTTTACTAGGGCAAGTAAGGGGGGTTTGTTTGTTTGTTTGTTTGTTTGTTTGTTTTGAAGAATAACAGCCAGTGGTAAAAGTTACAAAAGGGGAACGAGGGAAACCAAGGGGAACTGAATTGTCCCATTGCATTTTGTCCTTTTTTGTGAGATACTATGCATTAAGAGGTGGCAGATGCAAGAGGAGGGTAGAGTTTATCAGATGAGGAAAGGGAGTTTGTCAAAATTGGAGATGAAGGCCGATATGGATGGTAGATGAAAGTAATAGAGGGAGAGAGACTGGGAAGCAGAAAGAAGGTTAGAAGGATTTGCAGGGAGACCCCAAAAACCATCTTGTGATCTGATGAAGTTGGGGTGGGGGAGAGATGCAGGGGTGGTGTCAGCTGGAAGGATTGAGGTAACATCTGACAAGGCCCTTAGAGACACTTAGGACGTGTTAACTGTACTTAACACTAGCATCTGAGCGTTCAAGCAGTAAAACGTGCTAAATGCTATCATACCAGAGCAAAGTTAGGACTTTCCCAGCAAGGAGCATCTCAATCAGTGAGGAGTATCTTGAGTAGTATTAGCTAACATGTTGAGCTAATGTCAGACTGCTGCACAGAGGTAATATGATCGGA